TACCTACTCATTTAGTTGTGCCAGATCCCGGTTAATGTTTATTTCAGCTTCTGGTAAGTCATCGGGTGAGAATGATAAATACAGCTGCGTATCGTCAGCGTATTGATGATAATTGCAATGATTTAATGCGTTAAAGTGTAATTTGGAAGTGTAAATATTGAATAGCAGTGGGCTTAACACTCAAATTCATCAGACAATCAAAATTCCTCGTTCTATGTATATATAAGCAGTTTTCCTGAAGATTTTTATTCATGCGATTCTTCTCGCAATCCTCCTCTAGGGTAACAGCATCTACATTCTACCAGCGTTACGCGTAGAATAGATATCACCTTCTCTGATGTGAATAGGAACTTCTTCATGGCCCATGGTCATGGTTTCTATTTTGGCTTCCATGGTATTTTGATCGGTTTCGAGTTTAGCTTCCATAGTCTGTTGATCGGTTTTCATCCATCTTGACCAGCTTTCATTTCTTGCATTAATTGCAGCAGCTGCTGCATTTTCCCAGACGCAGACACTTAGACATGGATGTTGGAAGTCCATTAAACACGCTTCAATTTGATTATGTAGCGAACGGAAGGTTTCTAGAAAAATCATTCTTGAGGAGTCTAGAAAGAAAAGAATGCGTCGCATCCGCTTAGATTCCTTATCGCCGGCAACTTTTATCGACTTGAGGACGCCCCGATGTCGGAAATACTCGACACATTATGGATTCTGATCAGATCGCCTATGATGTTTTGCAGTAGTCGCAAAAAACCTATGGCTTGTCCAACATTTGCTAAAAATACTACATGATGGCTGCCAATCTTTCACTTTTGAACTTTCGAGTTTCTGTGGACATTAATTCAATTGTTCTCCAAAACCTACAAATATTTTTGTTGTGTTCGTGCGTATTTACTGAGAGTTTACATCAGATCAAACGAACTTAACAGATTTATTTATTTATTGTTACTCTTGTTCTGGATCCTCAACAGTCTTGTGCCCAATTACAAAGTGACCCGCGTTTTTTAGAGGTGCCCCTGGTCTTAAGTTGTTTTATACTACTCCGGTATTTACCTTACGAATTAGGAACACTGCAGGAAAACCTAATTCGGAGTAGCCGGCAGAATGCTCAAAACTGATCTAAGGAAATTCCCCTCTCTGCCACAGATGAAAAATTCATACCTCAACCCAGTTTCGAACACCCGACCTCCGGCTGTGTATCCCAACGCTCTACCACTGAGTCGCTTTCATGCCAGAAACTCTCAGAACAGTGTTATACAACGCTCGTTACATGTTGATAACGCTTGCTTCTCTGATGTCGGTACAATTCAATGCTTATGGTAGGCAACACATCAAACTTTGATCGATACTTACTAAATACTTACCGACGGTTATAAGTAGTGATGTTAAATTACACGTTTTTTTTAAAGTGCGTAATATTGTTTATGTTTTTTATGTAATTTATGTAATTTATGTAACTTACCATTTTTTTAAAAAAACCGTAATTTTACAGTAAAATTACCAGTAATTTATGTTTTTTATGTAATTTACAAATATTTTTGTAAAATTACATGTCTTTATGTTTTTTATGTTTTTTTTTAATGTTCTATAAACCTTTTTGGATTTTGTGAGTGTTTGAAAATAAAAACACTTGTTAAATTATATATTTTGGTGTATTAAATAAAATACCCAAGCAGTAGGTATTTCGCCATCACGCGTCGTTTGGAGGAAGAAGTTCCAGATCGCGAATTAGAGGCTGTATCATCTTCATTAAACCTAACTAAATTCAACGGTGAACCGTTTACGTTGGTAGTACCGTTGATGGTCTGTGGTAGTACCGATCAAAATGTATCAAATAGGTATTACATTTATGTAACTTACAAAAATTACGGTTTTTTAAATAAAAAACGTAAGTTACGTAAGTTTCATAAAAGACATAAATTACATAAAAAAACCGACCTCTTGTAAGTTACGCGTAATATAACCGTTTTTTATGTAACTTACAAATCGTTATTTTACAATCCACATCACTAGTTATAAGCAAAAATAGTTTCTATTAGAATGCACACCGTTCACTATATACAGAGCGAGATTTGGAAACAAGCAATTGGCGATTTTCATATGCTCAACTATATTTTGAATGTGAATTTGAAAGGTGTATTCAGAGTCACCCTCTCGAAATTTGCAGTTCCTTAACTCTTAAATAGAAAACAAGGACGGAATAAATTAACACGTATAGAAAGTAATTATTGCAGTAGCGATCATAGATGAATAAACGCATTAAGATGTAATGATCTTAGGGGCCCCTCTGACGACACTTCAATCTTGACTGTCCTATACTTACAGTTGTCAACTCTGTGGGAAAAAACTACAAACAAAGCCACCTAACTTTTAAGTCTAAAGTCCAAACCATGGACGTTTCACGGCACTTCTAGCAGTCCGCTGCCTAGGCACGAGGGAAGAATTGAATAAAACGTATAGTTTTGTGCGCCAGAAAAGAAAAGAACAAAATGAAATATATTACGCACACAAGGAGATACCATGGAAACCTTTTGTGGACAAAAAACCTGACATGACCCACACCAAAAAAATCAACTACGACAACAAAATGTCCTGTAACCTGTAACAAAGCACCCATTTTCAGCCTTGAAGTTCATACCCAAAGTTATGACCACACCGTATACTTGTTGTTGACCGCTTCGTTACTAAGAAACCTTAGTTTCTGAATTTACTTATTCGCTGTCGTGCAGTTTAGGGAAAGATCAACGTGATAACAGATTGCGCCGCTTGACTTCACCTTCCAAGAAACAAAACGGCATTACTAGACTGCCAAATTTGGAGATTTGGTTCCGACTATTTAGATATGTATAATTAACCATAATTAGTTAAATGGGTTACAGTAACAACTTCCGATTAAGTTGAGGTTACGTCCGTGAGATGGGGGAATATGTTCGCTTTTCCGTATTTGCTTTTTCGTCGCTTTCGCCGATTTGTCTTTTGCTGCTTTCATCCCCGGTAGGGAGTTTACCGTAATTCTGATTTAGTTTTTCCGAAGTGACCGCCGCCATTTTACCCCTACGATACCTGGGAACGCCGTTCTCGGCTCGAGTTACCTGGAGCACCCGACAACTCCGATCCTAACCCTGACCAGAAGCCGAGTTTCCGACCCTCCTGGTGGGGCCCGAAGTACTCCCGTTCCCCCGTTTCTTCTCGTCGTCACCGTCTACATAGTATATCCTGTAAATTACCGCGGGATGTTTTGTTCTTACTGTCATTAAATTTTATTTTGTAATTATACCGGTTAATTTGTGTTTTTTTGTGAAGGAGAACAAAAGTCACCCTTGGTGCGCGAACTTCTGGAGAAAATTCGTCGCAAAACAACTCGGAGGGAAAGGAGTGTAAAACCGATCGACTGGAACGTAGCTAACCGGGTGGCGAGAAGTTGCCTAGTGATCACTGGGATGGGCGGTAAACACGCTCATCCCACGCAGGGAAATATTCCCGGCAGCATACGTGGTAATTATTTTGCAACCCAGCATCCATTTTGTAAGTGCGCCTTGGGCACCCTTGATTAAGACCATATCGTTGGTATTTAAATTTTTTCGCCATTTGGTGCATTGTCGCAAATGATTCGCTAGCTTGACGATAGCTGTAAATTTGGCAAGATATACATTTTGGCGTCTGAAAAAAAAGGTGGAACATTGCCTTCCAAGGTAGCGTGAATAAAATGCACTACGGGAAAGTGTAAAACAAACATTGTAAATCTAGTGATATTTCATCGTTATAAAAAATGCCTTCATTGTGATATATTGAAAGCCACATCGGTGAGACCACGCCGTAGATATCCACCATAAAGATTAGCCAGAGGCAAAGAACAGTATTGGCAATCCATGCCCGAGAACATCTTCAAGCCACATGCCATGCAGAAATCGACAAGAAGTTACAAATTGTGACCGATGTTACAATTAATTCTTCTACTCTATCCTGCCTCTGGTGTTAATCTTCATAAATATGAATAAATTCTTTAAGGTACTTAGCTGGATCAGGGTGCATATTTGTAAATGGGGGTTTGAGGCGGAAGTAATAATCCTGTAAAGTAAATGGTTAACGAGATTCATTCTCATTGATAGGAAATATGCAGCTTTAATATCAATGAAATAAACTGGATGTACAATAATGAATCACCGTCAGGCGCCAAAAGAAAGTTAATTGTATTTTTATAATGACCCTGTATAATAAAAATAAAACGAACTCAATACGCGCATATTCAGGCGCGAATCTAAATTCGACTGGCACTCGGTGTAATGTAAAATTGCAAGTAAGTGGTTAAATCAGCTTTGTATAGGTACTTATACAAAGTTAAATTGCCCTCGAGCATAAAATTCTTTTCAATAGTTTGTATCAAACACACTACGACGCTAGTTCAATTTTATAACGAAGCTATCCACAACAAATGGTAACACGACGGAAAGCGACAATACTATAACGCGTTAGAACATAAATACCTTTAATGTTTGTGCAACAGGAGTTCTGGATGCGTTCGGGTCACGGCTTTCAATCAGAATGGAAAGTGGAGGGCGTGGCTTCTCGAAAAATGTTCAACGTTCCATCGTTTTTCTTGAAAATCCGGCGAAAATCTTCATTCCCTAGTATGACTTCTCCTTCTTGGCTTAATTTCTATCATCGGTATCCACGCAGAGACGCTAAAGATTGCACGCCGCTTAATGAATGCTGCTTTCCCACTATTTACACTCATATTTATAGGTATCGCCTTTGTAAAATCTGACTCAATTGGGTTACGACAGGCACATTTCACTCGCTCTCCTTGCTCTTATTTTAATGTTAATTACCCGCTTAATTTACCTTACCCTCAATATACACACGTAGGTAACGCAGTATAACAATTACTGTATTTGCATCTGAATTGAATTTCTAACGTCGTGTAACGGTTTTAATTCTTCTCACCGTTCATTTTCTCTATGCTACGGATTCTTACAGGCCGATATTAGGTTACGCCACTGGCATATTGCAAATTGGGAATATTTTCTATGTTTTTGCGCATGTGCGTTACTCCACCGACACGTATTAAGCGGTGAATATTTCATTCATTGGTGCTTGCTTTAAAAACGAACAGGTGTGATGGCGTCTTGAAAATTTTCATGGGCATAATATAGTTACATATCGCCGAATTGCGGATTTTCGAGTCCATGAATAATCGATGTTTTGGAGATTGGTTTGTTAGACCATTTTATCCATTTACCGTTACGGGATCTGAATACATTTGCTTGACGTAAGTAACATCTGCGTATCATTTCTATTGTCACAGCCACGCTGTTCTTTTAGATAACGCACCTGTTCTTCGCATCACCTAAGCCAGAGCTTTGATTGCCGATAACCTCGAGGCATCTCGTTAATTAACGAGTTTTAAAAAGCCCTCTTTTTAATTAAGAGGTATGCTTAAATCTTGGCCAAAAACCAGTATTAATTCCGACATTGTTTTAGGGTTTTACTTTTCCTGTTTTTTTTGTATCGCACGTAATTATCTCATGTCAAACTTGTGGTCACGCATGGTTGGTTTCCCACTGCTGGACCTTATTGTCATCCGATTGTCCACCTAGAGGCCGATTGTAGCGGTTATTACCCGAGCTGAGGGCTCCCGGATATCCTGAGATTTGTAACCACGGGGGTGGACAACCGACACGAAGAATCTTAAGGGGAGCAGGAACACCACGTAGCCGCCACGTTTCCGGAGAACGGTGAAATAAACTTAGCCTTTCGATATTAGTACTATTTGCTATTGCATAGGCACTCCTATTGTTAATCTTAAGCGAAGGGTTACGCTCGCATCTGGGGCACTTTACCGATCGGAGGTACAAAGTAAGGGGATAGGAATAATTGGTACATTGACGGGTCATACTGCTGTGGATCCCGTTGAATTTGTAAGCGCATGAGTACTCATACCGCCTTGTTAACTAAGCAACCCCGTACCACGTCATTAAAGTGTTTAGCTTATAATTAATGCCTAGAACTATCCATTTATGCAACACCGTTTAATCCAGGCTGCTTGGCCACTGCCGACCTCACTATAAAAAGGGAAAAGCAAGGGTGGGAAGACCATTTTGTTTGCGGATAGACTACTATTTGGGAAGGGTGGGGCAATTAACCCACGGGCTTCGCGTCGGTTGCCGCTCACTAATTTTTGCATGTGATATTACCTGTGGGTTAGTCATTAGTTGTTATATATATATATCTACTTTAGTAGTTGATTTTATACATATTTGTTGTTACTTGTTATACTGTGTGTTGGGGTACCTTAAATTGATTCTGTGATTATTTGCATGTGTAATTGCAATACTGTTGGTTACAAATTATACTATCACCGTTGAAGTTACCTCCAGTGTTTTGGATTATTGCTCGTTCCTACAGGGTATTTATTGCCCTGCAGTGGTATCAACCTTCCTTGTTCAGGTTGAACCGAAGACCTTCTCTAGTAGTGAACAAGGTGGCGCCCATTTATTGTTTGAGGGGGTAAGTCAAATCGTTAGTCCAACGCCCTACCCTGAGTATTATAGTTTCGTGTGGTTTAATTTAATTGAGCCGCTAGCTGAGGCATCCCCTTTATTTAACGTGGGGTTTGTAAATCAGCGCCACTCAAACTTAGCGTTACAATCCCTCTGGTTGGATGCAGACAGAAATTTTTTTCCAAAGTGGTTTGAACATTTTCTCCATTACTCCAAACCATCCGCGACTGATCCAGTTTTATTAATACTGGATGGGCACGCAACGCACACCAAAAATGTTCAACTGATTGAGGCTGCCAGACAGAACCATGTGCACATACTGTGTATCCCTCCACACACTTCACATCGTCTGCAGCCTCTGGACGTTTCTTTCATGTTTCCGTTATCGACATTTCACACTCAAGAGTGTGAAACATGGATGAGGCAAAATCCAGGTCGAGCAATTACGATTCGCCAAGTGGGTAGCATTTTTGGAAAAAGTTATCTAAAGGCATCTACCCCACAGAATGCTATTAATGGCTTTAAAAAAACCGGAATTTTCCCACTCGATCCAAATGTGTTTCCAGAAGAGGCCTTTGCTGCCAGTGAAACTACTGACAGGGACCTTGATGCTGATGCTGTCACTATCCAGGATGCAGTTTTTCACGCTACAGAAAATCCAGTGGTAGACAAAACATCGTCATCAACTACAAACGTAATGCAGGATATAAATGTTTCTCCCATAACAGTGGATAGTAATTGTGCGTCGTGTTCCAATGTATCAAGTTCAAGCCCAACGCAAACTATACCACCGGATAGCAATGTTGCGTCGTGTTCCGGTCTACAAACACCAATATTTAAAAAAATTTCAAAAAATAATTACGTTAGTCCCATAGACATAATGCCAGCTCCGAAGGTAAAATCTACATGCGAAACACGAAAAGTTTCCAAAAATCGAGGAAAGACTGCTGTGTTAACTTCCAGTCCATATTTAAAAGAGTTACAGGAGAAGAAGGGACAAAAAGTTTCGAAGCGAAAGGTTGTGGAAACAAAGTTACCTAAACAAAAAAAGCCAAGAAAAGGGACCAAAGGACAAAATAAAAAAAATACTGAACCTATTTCCAGTGACGAGGAAGTAGAGGACACTTCTTGTATAGTTTGTGATGGTACTTTTCTAAAATCCAAAGAAGGTGAAGGTTGGATTAGTTGCTCAATCTGTCGTTTGTGGGCGCATGAAGAGTGTTCGGGTTTTGACACCGATAATGACAAGCCTTATGTTTGTGATTTTTGTACATAAATATTTTCAATATCTCTAAATGTTTCCTTTCTTAAGCTAATATAATAAAACTTTGTCAAAATACATATTTATAACAATTAAAAAATTTCATTCCACTTTACCCCGCTGGTCATTCTACTTTGCCCCACAGGCGGGGCAAAGTGGAATGTGGTCATTCTACTTTGCCCCACAGGCGGGGCAAAGTGGAATGAAATGCGTTGATACACAAACCATTTATTATCAGTACCAGTATGAGGAACTAAGATCTAGTAAATATTTGGTTACGTGCGAACAGTACTAACGTTCTTATTACGAAAAAAAATTTATCTATACAACCTATAGTTTAGCCAAAAAAAAATTAAATTTAAAAATCATTCCGCTTTGCCCCGCTTTCCCCTACGTAGCGTTGCTTCTGGAAGGAAACAGGAAATGTAAACGATACGTAGCGCAGAGGTTTCGAGGCTATATCCTAAACCGGAAATGTAAACAAAGTAAAGGGTTCGAGATTAAAATATACGTACTTAATTATTTGACATTTGTTTATATTGCGATTAAACACCTTATAGGTTATGTTTATTGTTTTGGATGTGGCTATATTACCTATGATTTATGAAAATCACATCGATAATATATAGTGTATTTCAAAGAAATCACATGTAAGCCTTTCATTATATATCTTTTATGACTGTATACATCAAAATAGTTTATGCGGGGTTAGTTTAAGTGTAACTTAATATCCACGGTGACGTATATTGGGACAATGGTTGTCAATAATTTGCAGTTAGATTTAAGCTAAGCTCAGCTTAAATTTTTACGGTGCGTACGGCCATAAGAAAGTTTATTTTTGCGAACGCAAAATATGATCAATATATAGGAAAATTGCATTTTGCATTAAGAGTTACATTGCGTTTAAGTTAGCGCGAGACGGCGGAGATTAGGTTAAGTCAAAATGTGCAGTTAGATTAGATTGCGATTAGGCTAGACCGAGACGACGGTGGTTATAGATTTGATTGAATTGGGCAGTTAGGTTAAATTATGGGTAAGTTAGGTCGAAATGCGTAGTTACGTTAGATATCGCTTAGGTTAGATTAGGTCTAAATGCATTGTTGGGTTAGATCGAGAGTTACATCTGACCTTAATCAAAGATACCTATAAAGGCTCATCTACGACGTACCGTTCTCGAGATATCGCGTTTTAAGTATTTTCGGTGGTGTCAAATTACAAATGGCTATATCTCCGTTATTTACCGTCCGATCTTGATGAAATTTGGTATTAAGAGGTTTGGGGACCCGGGCAATTCGATTCCGTCATTTCCGAGCTTGTATATCAGCTTCCAAATTTCGACCATCCCATCGGTTAGATTAGGTCGAGAACTTTCTAAAGTAAATGGCATGTCGGAGTAAACCTATTGCCTATTACACGCTGCATCTAAAAAAACGTTTGTTTGTAATTTACAAGTAATTTACCCACCTTGTAAATATTCGAAAGAAACTGGTAGTCTTGAAAATAGCCGTTTTGAAAAGGACGAAAGTAATAAGAATCACAAATCATGGCTTGTGGAATTATAGGTTATGTTTTGTATTGGTACACATACATATACCTGGTTGCGGTAAATGATTAGTAATGTGATATTTTGTAAGAGCGGCGCAGCATATGATTATTGATCTCCGTGTAGTATTGTTGTAACTTATAAATGTAGGTGCTAAATCCAATTGGTAAATTTTGTTTTCTAAAAACACAATTTTTACAATAAGGTATTGAAACGCCATAAAATTACCTTCTCTTAAATTCATTATGTATGTATTAAATTTTTGTAATTTATCCCAATGTTCCTTTTTATGTTGAATGTTCGGTACGGGTGGTACTGTTAATAAAATAATTTTTTTGCGCGATCGGTCATTTCTGACTATTTACCATGGATGTTTCTATGACAGTACGTAGAATTTACCAGTTGCTATGATTACGACGACGCCAAAATTACTTACCGATCTAAAAACAGAACAGCAAAAATACTTACCGACGCCTTTTTAAAAATCAACAGTCTTACATTACATTTAATCTTTAATTATTGTTAGGTACATTAAACGTACAATTTGTGCTGTTGTTTCCTATAGCAAGACGCTCATAAAGTCATAAAGGAAGTGCAAAGCTAGTAAACTACATCAGACACATGCACATTTTTATGAAATTATTAATTTCAATTTTGACAATAAACTGGTTACCATACCACTTCGATCATTTCGATTTATTCTGCTCGTTAATTTCTTAGTGCATATTTATATTGGTTACATAATTTTAATTTCGATCGCGCAAAAAATGTTATAAGCACGTCGAACGTTAAGGGTTACCGTTCTCAGACAATAATTGGAGTCGTCGCTTCGCTCCTCCTCCAAACAATTGTCTTCGAACGGTAAAAATCCCTTACCGTTCTCCATACTTAATATACTATTTTTCCACCATCATTTTTTATTAATTGTATTATGGAGGAATAACTTTGGCACATTTCTTTTAATGGAGTATTCTGTTGACTATCTCCGATTAATTGAAATTCATTGTAAACAGGCTCGTAAAGTGGTAATTTCTGAAATACATGCCGATTGAGTTTATGTTTACTATTTATCTACGTATCGTTATACCAATGGAAAACATATTTTTGTGTTGATGCCAAGTGAATCAATTGTATTGGTGTAATTTTGTGGACATGTACTTTTGAAACTTTCGTAGTCGCTTGTAGAAAGGCAGTTTAATTTTGGAATTGTTGAAAATTTGTGTCCGCTTTCGCTTTCTAATGAAAATTGAGGGGAGAAAGATGATGAAAAGGATTGCTCGAGTCGCGGTTTTTTCGTCTCATTTTTAGACTCTTCTTCATTGAAGACATCTCGAACTGATTCACATTTTTTATTTGATAAAGATTTTAAATTATTAATATCGAAAGGCATAGTTACGATTAAACTTTGATTAAATTCAATTCAAATTTGAAAACGACGCACGTATTATCAAAAATTACCTTTGATAGTTTAAAAAACGAACGGTGGCGTATATTTAAAACGACCAATAGGATTTCAGTCTTAAGATTGTTTTCGTCATTAAATATTGTTAGTCATTGGCGGGTTATGTAGTGTATTTTATTATACTTTAATAAAACGCCATCAAACATGTTTCATCTATCACGTCCGTACTCAACCTGCTTTACTGTTATCCGTGCAAGCCAGGTATTCGTACAGCGCAAGACACATTTATTTATTACATCTTCCCCTAAAAATAGAAAACTAAAATCTTTCTCACTAACTAAATACAATTCTACTTAAACTTAATTACACTTCCACCTTCACCTGAAAATACTACCTTATTCTATACCTTTAAACGCTCCACAGGTTTTACAGTTCTTCCATATTTTGTTACATACTCGTGAGATTTATTTGACACATCTAAGCTTAAATCTAATTCATTTTCATTTGACGGTACAACAATTCGATTATGATAAGGATACATTATAATTACATCTTCCATATTCCGCCGTTTAATGCGGTTGTTATCACTATCTTTAATTATCACTGACCTGGGAGTAGGTGCCGTGCCTATGACAGACCCTGGATGCCACTCGTTGCCGTATCTATAAGTAACCGGTTGGTTCGGTTTTACCTTATAATTTCGAATTTTAGAATTTCTATCATAATACGATTTCATTTCGCATTTCTTTTTCATAAGAAATTTAGAAAAATCTGCAACTAACTTTGGTTTCAACGAGTGATTAGAGATAGGCAAAAGTGTTCGGGTTTTCCGGCTAAACAACAATTGTGCGGGAGAATACGCTGACCCCATTACAGGCGTATTCCTGTATTCCAGTAAAATTTCTTGTAGATCCACATTTGCGTCTACTGATTTTTTAATAAATTTTTTACAAATACCAACATATCTTTCACTTAACCCGTTTGATTTTGGGTAATACGGACTACTTGTAACTAATTGAAAATTCCACGATTCCGCAAACTGCTTCAGATAAAAAGAACCAAACGGTACATTGTCTGCAATTAATTTTACTGGAATCCCGTGTATCGCAAAAATTTCTTTTAGTACATGTGCTATTTCTACAGAATCTTTGGATTTTAATAATTTTAATTCGACCCATTTAGAAAAATAATCAACTAAAACTAGATAATTTTTGTTTGCGTACTCTAATATATCGCAACCGATTATTTCAAAAGGTAATTCTGGAATTGTATGATATAACATGGGTTCTCTTGCATTACGATTACGATATCGTTGACATACCTTGCAGTTAGATATCAATCCTTCAATGTCAGAATTGATTCCCGGCCAATAAAACAAAGATTTCGCACGTTGTTTGGTTTTCGAAATTCCCAAATGAGATGAATGAACTTTTCTCAGAATTACTTCTTGCATTGTATTCGGAACTATAATTGCTTTATCTATAAATAGGAGACCATCCTCATATACGATACTATTGCGCTTGTTATAATAAATTTTGACATTTTGTGCTAATTTCGTGATTGATTTTGGCCACCCATTTTCGCAAAATTTAATTACATTTTGTAAAGCACTATCTTTACCAGTCTCCACCTGTAACTTTGTTTTCAAATTATCACTTACATTTACTACATGCACAACATCATTTAAGTCACAATCAATCTGCGTATTATCGGCCTTAGAACAAGCTCGACTTATCGCATCTGCTATATACATTTTACTTCCAGGAACGTACTTTACTTCGAGATCATAAACTGATAGTTTCATACTTATTCGTTGTAATCTATTGGAATTAATTTTGTTAATTTCTTTTTGCATAAGGGCAACTAACGGTTTATGATCGGTCTGGACTACTACTTTTCTACCGTAAATGTAGTGATGAAATCGCTTGCATGCAAATAAAATCGCCAAAAACTCTTTATCAATTTGCGCATACCGCATTTCTGTTTCTGATAAACTCTTAGATGCAAAACATACAGGTTTTTTGTTTTGCATCAGTACGCACCCAATTCCATCCTTACTGCTATCGGTTTGTATGATAATTTCCTTTTCATTGTCAAAATTTTGTAACACCGGTGCGTTGCATATTATGCTTTTAATTTTATTCAAACATTGTGTGTGAATGTTATCTATCCACATAAACTCGGCCTTTTTATTTAAAAGCGATCTCAGAGGGGCCGTTTGATTTGCAACATTTGGAATGAACGCATGTAAATAATTGATCATACCTAACCATCGTTGCAAATCTTTTTTATTTTTTGGAACGTCATACTCTAAAATCGCTTTTGTCCTATCTGGATCGATTTCTACAATGCCTTTCCGAAAAATGTGCCCTAAATATTTTACTTTATCAGTTTTAAATTGAAATTTATTTACATTAAATTTAATGTTCAACTCTCTGCTCCTATCAAGCACTTTTTGCAATATTTCGTCGTGCTTTTCCTGATTTTCAGCATAGATTAACAAATCATCTATGTATATAAAAACACCTTCAATATCACCGAAAAGCTCCGTATTATATTTTTGAAAAATTTGTGGTGATATTTTTAAACCAAACGGCAACCTCTTAAAAGCGTAACACCCAAATATTGTTGAAAAAACACAATATTTTATACTTTGCTTTTCTAACTTAATTTGCCAAAAGCCATCTTTTAAATCCAATACTGAAAACAAACTGGCATTTTTTAATTTGGATTTTAAGTCGTCCAATGTAGGAATGTTGAAGTGTTCGTCCTTTATACATTGATTAATTTCTTTTGGATCTAAACACAATCTTAAGCTGCCGTTAGGTTTTTGTACAATCACTAATCTACTTGCCCACTCTGTAGGCTTATCATATTTTTCAATTATGTCCATTTGACATAATCGATCGAGTTCTGCTTTTACTTTATGTCTTAAACTTAGAGGAATTCGATAAGGATGTTTTGACGAAGGAACGGCATTGTCTTTTATCTCAATTGCATAATTTCGAGGGAAACATCCTATTCCTGTAAAAACATCCCTATATTCTCTTTCTATGAGTTCCTTTGTTAAAGGCATTGGTAACGTACGTTTTACGTGATCAACATTTTTTGCTATCAAATTTAACTTTATGCTACTACTTAAGCCTAATATTGGTACTGAATTCAGTTTGGTTACAATAAACTTTTCTACAAAATTACCGTCTTTAGTTTTAATCATTAAATCAACTGTTCCACAATTATCCATTTTTGAGCCACCATAGCCCTCTAACCTAACCTTAGTTGAGTTCAACACTAAGTTTTTGTTTGACTTTAATTTCAGTTTCTTAAAAATGTGTTGAGAAATTAAGTTAACATCTGAACCAGTATCAATTTTAAACAAAATCAACGTATTTTCCACATTTAACGTGACCTTCCATACCAAACTGTTTACCTTGTTTCCGAAAATGGAATCACAATAATAATCGTCGTCCGCATTTATTATTGAATGTAATCTGCTTTGCCCACGACACATCTTCGCAAAATGATTTAATCTTTTGCACTTAAAACACGTTTCACCTCTCGCGGGACACTGATATCTTTCATGCACATTTCCACAATAACCGCACTTTCTTTTAACGTTACCTTTCCGTACAAAATTTTTCTTTCGCTGCAGAGCTCCTTCCGAAGAATCACTGTCCCTTGCTCGGCTACTGGATGCCCCCGGTGCTCCATCCTTCGCTCGGCTACTGGATGCTCCTGGTGCGTCTCTCTTTTCTTGAGCTGCTTTGGAATTTCCCCTCATCTGGCGTCGAATCTCGCTTACTTCATGACTTGGATGCATCTGGGATGTCTGCTGCCTCGTTATCTCGGCAATTCGATACTTCTGCGTTGCCTCATCTAGAGTGATGTCGCCTAATTTAATGATCGCATCCATTGTATCATAATCAGTGGAATCTAAAACGATTTTGTCTCGCAAAATCTCGTCCTCCTCAAATTCACAATCCTTTACTAAATTTTTCACGTCGGTTAGAAACATGTCAAATGGTCTGCTTGCGGGAATAAAACAAAAACCGTGCATGCAGGACATTCTTTTTCGGATTGCAATATTGTTCAAACGCCTTTAGTACGGATCCAATCTTCTTGTCTTCTCCATCTTCAAATTTGAAGGACTCGCTTATTTCTACTGCTTCTGGTCCTATTATGTTTAACAATATTGCTACTTGCCTTTCATCGGGTTGCTTGTTATAAGCTGTGGCTGACATGTATATGTTGAATGCTTTCTTGAACTTCTTCCAGTTTTCGCTCAGGTTACCATTTAAATTTAATGGTGATGGCATAACGAACATCGCCATTTTTGCACAGTTTACACTCACTTTATTAAACCTTTATTATTCCCAGCCACTCGACATCTCGTTTAGACTTCACTGAATTTACGAACCCTATCGCTTTGCCCACTTTATTGTCTTTACCGACTGCGCCATGTAGTGTATTTTATTATACTTTAATAAAACGCCATCAAACATGTTTCATCTATCACGTCCGTACTCAACCTGCTTTACTGTTATCCGTGCAAGCCAGGTATTCGTACAGCGCAAGACACATTTATTTATTCCAGGTTAAATATATTTTATTTAAGTTTAAATTGAAAATTTTTATTTACGAAGTAATGTTTTTAAAATCATTAACGCTATAAGTATTAACGTGATCAGACATTAACTGTATATTAATATTTTGATTTGTATGTTCGTAAGAATTGAACATGAATTAAGTGATAGTAATAAAATTTTCTCAATTCAATGTGCCACCACTGTACCAGTTATCTTGCGTCGACTGTGTCTATTGTATCTAATTGGGATTAAAATTTTAATTTAGCATCTTTAGGCGTTTTCTATCGGCTACTTCGCGATCATGATTCCAAGATTGTGATTCGTAGGATCACGTTTTACGAAAGAACGCGCGAATTTCAATCAAAGTATGGTTAAGTTTACGTAGTACACATTTGCATTCGAATTAGGTATTTTTTGTTTTGATTATGGAAATAATTTAAATACCAGTACAAGTGGAAGTACTTGTACGATTACGCTCCTCTTCTGTTACAAATATTGACTAACCTAATGTTTGAGCAGAAATATCATTGCATTTATAGGTTAGGAATTCGTGATCATAAAACTTTTATGTTCAGTTTGTTCACGATTTTAGCAATCATGATCATAAGATCACACTTCGAAAGAACGTGATTTCACAATCCAAATGCGTTTGGATCATCGAAAGAAAGCGCCTATTTATGTTGACAAGAGGGTGTTGTCAAGGTACGTAGATTGTATTAAATTAAAAGTTTGATTAAAAAGCATTAGAAATATTGAAAAGTATTAATGAATGTATGCATCGTGTGTCGTGTAATTTGTTTAGGAAATTTTGTCCATACTTATTTCTTCATTTACAATGATTTATTGGTTATGGTAGATAGGTGTAATAATACATAAATAACTATTAATATATCTACATATACCTAAAACAAACTACAGACTATTTTACTAAACCTTTCGACAGGAAAGATATCCGATCACAGAACACTCGATTCTGATTTAGAATCTATGTTGTTCTTAAATTGCGAACGACCTCCGGGATAGTATCGTATTAATGTTGATCGAAAAGATTTTTCGTTCAATATTGATTTGAGCCTATTCCGGAAGTCGTTCGTATCTTAAAAAAAACGTAGATTATATAGTGACATCAAGTGTGTTGTGATCGGATATCTTTTATGATGAGAGTAATATGTACTTAAACTACTAAACTTCTCGCCAGAAGAGATTACCGGTCATAAAACACCTTATCTAGGTCTACAATCTACGTTTTTCTAAAGATGTGAGCGATTTTCGGGATAGTATTGTATTAATGTTGAACGATAGGATTTTTCGTTCAACATTGGGATGATTTTATTCCGGAAGTTGTTCGCATTTTAAGAAAAACATACATTGTAGATCGACATAAGGTGTGCTGTGGCCGGCAATCTTTTCTGACGAGAGTAATATAAACAACTATAATATATAATTAAAAACTATGAACAAAAAAAACTAAAACAACATTAAAACTAACTTATTTTCTAAAATATGGTTTGTAATATTTCCTGTAAATTTTTCTGTAATAATTTAAAACGTTAATTTGATTATTTAAAACTTACCCTTTGTGTTGGCCACCTCTGTTTGGTCCGGATTTAAAATTCTGCTGTAATTTTACATAAAATTAGAAAATATTGTGGAAATATATTACACGTTTACCTTTTTCTTTATTTCTTTGCAAATTGTCACTCTGTAGGGCGTACCTCCTAGTACATGTTGTAAAATTTTTCTGGTTATCGAGGATTCCATATTTAATCCTAGAGTCTCATTTGTAGCCAATTTTGTATTGATTTTGTTTTCTATTAATTGCCTTTTTAAATTTTTTAAAGACGCGTAAAGCATCTTTAAATTTGTACTTTCTTTTTCTTCGGTTTTTAGTAACATTAGAATTACGGTGGGGCCGTTCTTACGTGGTACAAAAAGTACATCGCTTAAGTTTTTGTTTCTGGTATCCACTCGCAGATTATCCATAAGTTCTTTGTTACTAAAATGTAAAATATTATTTTAAAAATTTTGTTTTGTAAATAGTTTATTTGTAAAAAATTTGTGTGTTTTTATTAGTTTGTAAATAATTTGTGTGTATTTTTATTAATTTAGTATTGGTTTTTATTTTTATTTTTTTGAGAAATTTATTTATAAATATTTTGTATGTGTGTATTTTTATTAGTTTTAGTGTTTGGTATTGTTTAATATTTTGTAAATAGTTCATTTTGGTGGTTCGAAGGAAACTATTTTAATTTTTTTGAGAAATAAATTTCTTTAGGAACAAATTTGTTTAAATGACTTGTGTACAGAGTGTATTGTAAGTTTAATACATTTTGATAATAGTGACAATGTTTATTATGTATAATTTTGCTTTGAATATCTACACGTTTGAAAGTTCAATCAATCAATTACTTAGAAAAGGTGTGAATATTCTTTGTGTAGATTAATTTATCAAAATTTTTTTTAATTTTTGGTAATTTTTAATATGTTTACATGCAGTGAGTTTTTTACGATTGGTCTTACGATTTTATATGTTAATTTTTTATACTTTATGAGCTCCGATAAATGGATTGAATATTTTCTTAAAGATAAAAGTTAACAGGGGGTTAAAAAATTAGCAAGTAAAATCCTATGATTAATTTCCAAAAAAACTTACTGTATGATGATGGAATGTAAAATTTTAATTTTCAATATTTTTCATTTCATAGTTGTATCAAAAGGTAAGGAGCATCTAAATATTATTGACAATCAATTTATGAATTTGTTTTTACTGTTACGGTTTCGTATTAAAGATCTTATGCGAAATTGGAACATTCATTGGTTTTTAGAGTTGGGGTTATGAAGAAAATAATTATAGAATTGTTTGAAAGGTAATATGTAAAGGGGTATTTGATTAATTTGAAAGAAAAAATGTGTGTAAATATAACGTAAAGCTAATTGAAATTATTTAAACAGTATATCGATTATTTTACACAAAAAAAAGTAACATTTAAACTGTTTTGTGGAAATGTAATTTTGGTAATTACAGTGTAGTACGTGAAAGTTTTTAATTAATTGAGATATTGAAAATCGAAGGAGCGCCAGTGGCGTGAAAATTGTGTTTAATTTGTTTGTACCTATCTTCAAAGAAAGGTGTATTCTTTTAGGTTAGGGTATGTTTATATTTACGAAGTTGGAAATAAGTTTATACGTATAAAGTTGGATGATCTTACTAATTTTATTGTAAGCTTTTAGGTTCTACCACAACATCAACAAAACATCACAACTGCCATCTACCATGTGTATAGGTGAGACTCTCATTACTGACAACGAAGCCATTGCCAACGGTTTTGCTGATCATTTTGCCTCTGCTTTTACGGACGGAACACTCAAGGAAAACTCCTTCTCTTCCACAACTGAGGTAACACTGAATTGTTTCACAATTTCTGCTGAACAGATTTTCAACCATCTCATACGTACCAAAGAGAACGGGAGTGTCGGCCCTGACGGAATAGCTCCTAGATTTTTAAAATGTTGTGCCGAATCTATCTATTTACCCATGTTTCTGTTGTTCTCGTCTATTTTAAAAAGTGGATGTGTTCCTTCAGTGTGGAAAAATTCTCGGATAGTTCCAATACATAAAAGTGGTGCTAAGAATGAAATCTCTAATTATAGACCTATAGCAATTCTCTCTGCTATTCCGAAATTATTGGAGGCGATTCTTGCTCCTCAATTAACGGATGCTTTTTCGACTATAATTACTCAATACCAACACGGATTTAGCAAAGGCAGATCAGCTGAAACCAACTTGTTCGGCTACACCAATGACATTTTCGTCTCACTGGACCGTGGACTTGATGTTCACGCGGTTTACACGGACTTCGCTAAGGCCTTCGATAAAGTTAACCACGACTTATTAATATTTAAGCTAAAAAAATATGGTGTTAGCGGAACTGCTTTGATTCTGCTCCAGAACTACTTATGCAATCGGAAAGCACAGGTGAAGATAAGTGATAAGTGGTCCAATCCAATTGAAGTGAGTTCGGGTGTTCCTCAAGGATCCCATCTTGGTCCAGTACTATTTTTGATTTTTATAAACGATATATCATCGGTGTTTGTGTCTAAACATGTCTTATTTGCGGACGATCTGAAGATATATAGACCTATTGCAGACCTTCGAGACATGAGTTTGCTACAATCTGATTTAGTGCGACTTGAAAAGTGGGTGGTTGAAAATGACATGAAATTAAATGTTGAAAAGTGTCACGTGATCTGTTTTTCCAGAAGGAACTCTCCATCTTTGCAAAGTTACTATCTGTACGGTCAGCTGATTGATTGCGTGGATTCTGTTCGTGATTTAGGTGTGATCTTGGATTCCAAGCTTACATTTCGATTGCATTATGATCACATTGTATCTAAAACTACCAACATGATTGGGTTTATCAACAGGCAATGCAAAATTTTTCTAATCCGTGCACATTACGCACCCTATACTACTCATTAGTTCGATCGAATCTTGATTATTGCTGTATAATATGGTCTCCCTATCTTACCACACATATCGATAGATTGGAAAGAGTGCAATCCTATTTTCTTCTATTGTTAAAATATAAGCTCTCTTTGGCAGGAATCGTGTTTGAAAGAACCAATGACGTAAGACTATATCTCAATATCATGCGGTTAGAAAATCGAAGAACACTACTTACCCTACAGTTCGGCTTTAAGTTATTAAACGGCCACATAAACTGTCATACTATCTTGTCTGACATTTACTTTAATGTTCCTCAAAGATTCGTTCGATCTTCGAGGCTTCTTTACATGAGACTTAATCGAACTCTTTACCTTCGTAACAGTCCTCGAAATCGATTGTTGGAGTTATTGAACAATTTTAATGATAAAATCGATTTATTTAGTGTATCTCTCCCGATTTTCAAATGGAATACTATAATACTTTTAACTGAATGACGTTGCGTGTTATTATATCAATATTTAAATTTAATTATTTCGTGTCATCTACTTAGGTACACGTAGTTGTTAGCTACGATTATTTATTATTATAGTATATTATATTGTAAATTGCCCTAGGCGTAAATAAACATTATTATTATTATTATTAATTTATGTTAATTTTACGCAACTAATATCTATAATTTTTATAGGAAGGAAGGAAGGAAGTTGTTTAACAGTTGATGTTCCAAAATTTATATTTTATTTGTTGAAAAGTGTGCGAGGAGTTTATGGTTAACAAAGGAATACTTACAATAGTTGTGGGATCAATGTATTTCCTTCTAAAAATTTCGGACACCCGTAGAGTAATGCGTATTCATTTTTATTGTGACGATTAATGTCCGTCTCAATTACATCCACATTAAAGTAATGTGGCTCGAACCCTTCGCCAACATATTTGCTTAGAAAATCCATGTAATTATCGACCGTCTGAAAATTGAATTAGAAAATTTCATGCTGGTGATATAATAAATATTAATTTTATACCGGAAATTCTTTGTCTTTGCAGGAAAAACAATGTGGCATACCGAGTTACGCAGTCGAAATCTGAAGAAGTTCGTCTTTGATTTGTTTCAAGATGTAGGGTAACCCAGGGTGAGACGGTGAACAAAACTTTAAACGACGACAGCTTTCAAACTATAGTTTATTTAGTGCAACTAAAATAACATACTATTCACAAAAGACATATAAATAAAAAATATAACTCTAATTGAACAACAAAGCGACATTTAACGACGTAAAAAATATTTTATTTTTCTTACCCTTTCACCATCTCACCCATACATGGTGGGTTAGATGGCGAATTCAGAGTGGGTGAGATGGTGAACGAAGAAATTGACTTAAACCTTTCTCAACTTAACCTTTCCGCGTGTATCACACAAGTCACCGTATTTAGTACAATCTTCATGAAACCATCGTTCACATTTGAGACACTGTATCCAGTCAACGGGTTTTTTCGTTTTACTGTATTCCTCGTCGCAACCAACGCAACAAGTTTCGTCTTCATTATGATCATCATCAGAATCATTGAGCTGTAGTTCTACAGATGACTCAGATTCCGTATCACTCGATGAAACAGTCGATCGTAATTTCGATTTCCCTTTGATTGCCAAGCCTTTCGTTTTCTTTCCTGTGATTTTAGGGTCTTTGTTTTCTTTTTGTATCTTCATTGAGCTTTTTGCTTCTTTCTCCTTCTTTTTTTGCATTTTGTCTTTAAGTGTCTGAATGTTGCTGCCTGAATTGAGAATTTCTGCTAAATTTCTAGAGTTCTTCCTCACTTTTTCAACTTGAGCGATGACAGGCACAGGCGAAATTGCGTCCAAAAGTTTTTCTGGGGTCACATTTTCATTCGCGGAAGGTTCAGTTTCCAATACAATGCTGGAAGAGCTTTGGGATTCTGAAAAGTTTCTGGCATCGTTCGTTGAATTGGAAGTGCCTGGTAGCGGAATATCATCTCTTTCTGGTGATGTCTGCAACAAACCTGCTTCTCCGGGCTCGCTTGTTGTTAAGTAAGCATAATCCGGAATGGCATGTGGATTGAAGGGAACAATCCCTGTTGCTCTAAATCCAGAGATAGCGTTATTTGCTGTGGCAGCCAAAACCCAGGCATCAGACAATAATTTCCCGAAAATAAGTCGTGATATTTTTCTACCAGGGTTCATCTTCATGTAAGAGTTGCAAGCATTGCTATAATACGTTTTCAACGCCTTGAAAAATGCCCTGTCGAGGGGTTGCAGGTAATGTGTGGTGTGACTCGGCAAGCATAAAAGTATTATGCCATGCGTTTCAGCAAATTCCAGTGTTTCTACTGATGAGCAATGTGAGCTATGCCCATCAAGTATTAATAGGACAGGTCCATCTGGTTTTCTGGGCAAAAAATGATCCTTGAGCCACAAAAAGAAAATATCCGTTGTAACATATGCAGATTTGACTGACATGTAGATAGTTGAACCGGGTGGCATGTTATCCCTATATTCTGGTTTTTCATTTTTGCCTTTAAAGACACATGCGGGAGGAAGAAATGTGCCTTCACCATTGCAACAGGCGATAACGGATATTGTTTCGCCTTTTTCACCAGATGTTACGTTTGTAACACTCTTTGAGCCTTTTGCTGCTACGACATATCCTGGCTTGTTATTTAATTGCAGCCCAGATTCATCCATGTTGTAAATATTACTGGGCTTATTTACTAAACCGTTATCTACCAGAATGTCTTGCAACAAATCAAAATATTTCAACACATTTGTCTTGTTCATGTTCCGAGAACGTGCTAAAGAGATGCCTTCTGATTTTCGAATGCTAAGTTCCGGGTTCCGGCTCATAAACAAATGAAGCCAATCAAGACCAGCCATTTCATTTTCTTTGTTGAAAGTATGCCGTAATTTCAACTGCTCTGCCAGTTTGAATGCTATGGAACGAACTTCATTTCTTGTTGGTGAGAATCCAAATTTTTGCATCTTCATTATGTGCCTAACAATTTTCTTTTCATTCGTCTTGCCTAACACAGACATTGGTCCCATAGGTTTTTTTGTCATATCGCCCTTTTGAATCCTTCGCTTCAATGTGGACCATGGAACGCCAAATGTTCGAGCAGCTTGATTCAAAGTTTGTCCATTATGAACAGCGTTGACTGCATTTTGCAGCTGTTCCACTGACCACGAACCTCTAGAAGATGTTCTCTTACGTTTGTAAAATGTTGGCATATTGACTGAAATATGATCAGTAAGTATTAAAAAGTGTTTCAATCAAATCCTTAAGATTTAGTTTTCACCATCTCTCCCGCAAGCACATTCACCATCTCTCCCTTTTTGCATGGGTGAGATGGTGAACACTGCTGCGGTTGGTAAGATCAAAATCCCGCGCATATTTTAGGTTAGGTAACGTCTTTACACTTTAAAACCAACGTAAATTGCAATATAATGTGCCACAAATTAAAACTGAAGTTTTTACGGCACGCAATTCCACATGCATGAAAATATTTTAGAGGTATGAAAACGATATTTTGTGATTTACTTACCGGTTATTGCACAGTACACCGATATCACACGTGCCGAGTACACAATTAACCTTCGGAAAGAAAGTGTTAATACAGTCTCCGCCATCTAGGTAGTATTTACGAAAATATCCCTGTTCACCATCTCACCCTGGTTTACCCTACAGGTCCATTTTGTTGGTGCGTGGTTTAAGGAAATTGTGCTTAAAGCCTTATTTATAACTTGATCGAAGGAAATATGCATATTTGTGTTCATTAAAACCATTAAAGTATCGAGCAATTATCAATGTATTGGTTGTGTACTTTAGTTATCAGATATGTGCAACCATTATGTCTTTGTAAACTATTTATGACACTGTATGTTATTATTAAGATAAATTAATATACTTACCGCATTACTATTTTCTCCCATTTCCATATTTTTCTCTTGAGACATTTTCAAATACAAACGCTAATTTTTAATTTTATGTGAAAATGGCCGTTTTAAAACAATTGAACGTTCAGTTTTCTTGATTATAATGTAAATATTTTATTTAATTTCAAATGTGAATTATTCAGCTGCAATTTGTTTGTTTATTAAAGAATTTAATTAAATAATTAACGGTGTACATTTAAGTTTTTTTCTGATTTGGCTCCTTTTCAGTAGATTTGATTATTTTTTAGCGCATTTTCCAACGAAGTTGGGTGCGTTATTGCAGCCAGTTTTTTTGTCCGTCCGAAGCTTTAACTACTCCTACAGTTTTCAAGATATTTAGTTTGTTCTTTTTGCATTCGGTAGCGTATAGCTCCAGCATCTGAGACAAGGAAATTTTTGAAAATTGGTTTTCGTATGTAAAAGTTATACACGTTTTACTATCAAAAACAGCATCTCAGAAAATAATTCATGGGGGGAGGCTTAAAACAGTGCCTGGCACGTCTTCAAGATATAGACTACCTATCTATTTCAGGACTATAGTATCATTTCCTTAGACGTAGTTCAAAATGGTAAAAGTGGGTCTGGACGGACAAAACGCAAACAATAGTACGTTTTTTAATTTTTATAAAAAGGCGCTAAAATTTTCGCAAAGTATTTTTTTAATAGGAGTTCATTGCTAGGTACTTCCTGTTAAAAAAGTGAAAATCCAGTTCACCCTACGTTGTTTGAGCATGACTGATGCCTCCAACACACCTCTTGTGGTTAGGGACTCTTCGGTTTCTTGAAATATACGTATTTTCAAACGTCTATATCAAGTTTCAACTACTTGGCAATTTTCTTATCTATTTTGGACAATTTTCCTATACTAAAAGGCAAATATAGCGTATATAGTAAAAATCAGATGTGCGCATGCGTAAACTGAGCAATGCCAATAATTCGGAGTTTTTTGGAGATATTTTTTTGAAATTTTAACCAAATATGTTTATAATAAAAGCAAACGTACTGCATATTGTAAATATCAGATTAATATGTGTAGGACGCGCAATATCGACTACGTAGTGAGTGTCAACTTCCTTATTGATTAAGATATTTTTTTAAAATTTAACCATATATGCCTCTAGTAATGAAGAACATGGTGCACATAGATATGGCCTTTGGGAAAGTATTGATCAATTTATGGAAAATGCGCTGAAATTATTCGTCTTACAGCGAAAATCTTTTTACTTGTTTATTCCTATGTTAAAATCTTTATGTTCCTACTTACCGTGCACCACCCGGTATATCGCTCAAACGGTTTGAGAGGGAAAGTTTTTCGTTCTATTTTTTTATAGCCATACTGTATGTACTTACTGTATAAAAACATGTATGCATTTTTATTATGTTAATTGATTGAAAGATAATGGTTTGTGTCTTTTATTTTTTTAAGTTTATGTTGGATTGCCAATGTTGTACATTTGTATTTTCGTACCTACTTGATGTCGTCTTGTTGAAAAAATATAGAGATGGTGTTACAGCTATTGAAAATGTAAAGAAATAACATATTTTTTGTTTTTTTTTACAAAGTTTAGAATTGTTGAACTTGTAAATAATTGTGTCTTGATTATCTTTTCCAAATTTCACAGGTTCTTGCTGTTTGCTTTTATTTACTAAGTGATCTGTCAGTAGAACTAATTACAGTAGATATATGTATTTCATATTCAAATTAAAAAAAGAAATAAATTAAATATTTCAAATTACTTTTGTGATAATTTTATCAAAGTACAGAAGATACAGATGAAAAAATTTAAATTTAATTTGTACAAATTTTTTTTTCTAACAAATAAGAGTCAGTATTTACAAAAAACAATTATTGTATTATATATATAATAGTAAATAAACGGTAATAAATTTTTCGATACATGAAAAATAGTTTAAATAAATAAATTACAAATTTTTAATTATTGAATTCCGTAATTAAATGACATATACATGTATATAAATTATATATATATATTATATATATAATATATATATATAGTTTTAACTGTTTTTACAATGCTTAATTAAAGTATTCCAATTTTGTTTCGTTAAGATAGTATTTGAATTTTTTAACTTTTAGTTTGATTTTCCCAAAGTGTTGAAATCTAAATTTTCTTAATTCGTTAATTTCACATTACAAATTAAAATTAAAACATTTATGATGAATGTACCTGTAATAAAGCAAGTTAGGTTATTTTCTTTTAATAGTTTGTTATTACCTTTTTAATTTATTGTTGCAGGAATTATCATTATTTTAAATGTGGTTCAGTTTGCTGTATTTCTCATTCCATTTTTCCCACGGTGATTGTTTCAATTGGTCCTGGTTGCAGTTGTGTGGTGAAATGTGAATGTTTATTGCAAACATTGTCCTTCATTCGACTCCGAAAATTTGAAAAAAAATTGTATAAGAATACGTTACTTAACATGTATACAAATTAAAAAGTCGACGATTATATACATACAAAAAAAATTATATTGTAATAATAACAAAGAGCATATTGCTTTTTATATTTTTTATTAGAAAATAATATTTATTACAATATCATAAAGAGTATAATAGTCATTATGTAAATATATTATATAAATGTGAATACACGAATTCGAAGAGTTACAAACAAAAGTCACTGACAAATAATACCAAAATTACACGTAGTAAAAAATTGAAATTCGATATGTAGATTCTTTAGAAATTTTAGGCGAGTATTATTAAAAAAGAGAATTGGAAAAAATGTGATTTCATGTTTTGCAGTCGAAAATGTGAAAGGTCAAAGATTTGACATTTAGAACTATACATTTCTTTTAAAGGCGTGAAGGTATAGTCCGAGAACACTACCCAAATTTTCGACGGGAACGGGGAAAAATTGAATTAACACAAAGGATAATGTCTATTCATGTACGCGAACGCGAGTGAAAGTTACTTATAGTGTATCTGCTTAAGTTCAGTCCGTATTGAGAAGTTTTTCATTACAAGTTGAACGAAAAAATGTATTTTTTATAAAAAGTTTAGCGTGTTTTAAAATTTTAAATGCGCAAATTAATTTTTTTAAATGTCAGTTTTTTTAATAAATTGATAAAAATTTGCTTTAATTTTGATCTAAGTTTGACATAAAATCAAATAAACAGTTCCATAGGGATAAAATTTTATCAATTTCAACATTCTAATAATTTTTAACAGTATAAACGATGTGCGCGGAGCGTATTCAAACAACAAAAAAGTTGTTAGATTGTTTATTTTTTTAATTAAAAATATTAATATTTACATATCATAAATGTCTGATTAATGTTTTCCTTACGTAAATTAAATCATGTAGTATTATTGTTACATTTCTACCATTTATGAACGGTTTAAAAAAAAATAATTTTCAAGTTGGACTATGATTTTCATATTTTTTATTTTATTGCATCCATGATTCGCCAATATCCCATTTTATATTTGTCACAAATGATATTCTACAAAGAAATATTAATTCGAAATAAATATTAATATTAATATAAATATTTATACTTACGTTTATAATAAAAAAAAATACATTGATTAAAATGTAATCGATTTAACAACCGCACTACCAAATCACATAACATGTGATTGGTAACATTCACCTTGTTTCGAAGCAATAAGTAATTTCTAAAATTAGACTTACAATGCATCGAAAACTTGGCTCGGTGGATAATACGAGCCCAATAACATATGTATTGAAATTTACTTTACTATGATAAATTTAACGGATACAAAAGGGCAAAGAAACGTCTATTTGTATTGGTCCAATACATATGTGTTTGGGCTCGTAATGGTAATAATTTAGTTTGATTTATTATCGGGCGTATATATATTTAGTCTAGTGGTATGCGCATTACCGACTAATGATGTGGTATATCCACATCTTACTGCTCGTATACATCTAGCCTCACCAATGGTGTGTCATTAGGCTAATGGTGCAGACCGACCGAAGTGGCCTGCACCGCCATCGGGCGTAGCTTTTAAATATGACATTTTTACCGGTCGCATGAACATCTGTCAATGACTGGAACATGTATTAAAGATAGAAATTATATTATTAAATATTTGATTCGTTACATAATTATTTGTACATGCATATGTATAATTTCTGTCCATATTACATAGTTGTTAGTCATGGGCGAAAACCCCCTCAACTAAATATAGCTAGCCCTGAACGTGCACTCTTCACCATAAAGCGGTAACCTGCAAACGTTTGATGATTCATTAGTAGATAAGAGTTCATAAAATTATTTCGAAAAATTTAGAATTTTTTTAAAAATTTTAAAATGAAAGTTCCTATTAATTTACACAAAATTTTAATAATTTATATTGTTTGAAATAATTAATTTAATACTAATATTTGTATAGATTTTATGAAATTCAAAGTGAGCGGCATTTTAATGATTAAAAAAAATGTCTCGACAATGGAATTGTTTCTTATTTTAATAACTACATGATTATAAATAATTTTATGAACTTTAAGTACTTTGCGGAATAATAAACTATATATTTATAATATTTGAGTGCAGTGTACGTAACCCATCACGCGCATGTACTATCATTATGATTGTGATACGGTCAGATACACATTTACGAAAAAACTTGTATATTTCAAAAATATATAAATAATTAATTCGCGCATTCACAGGCCCCGGAAAGAAGTAAAAATAACGAAATAATCGTAGTTTACTTCCGGTATGCGACATGGCGTCGTACGGCGACGATTTCAGAAATGCACGACAGTTGGGTGACACGCGCATACCTAGCATATAGCGTATACGACAATTCTTGCAGCGCATATTCTAGTATTGATTTTATCTAACATAAATATATAAGAAAAATACCACAATGTCAATTGTTTACTTTAACGTTATTTTAAAATTAAATTAAATACGAGCTAGAAGAATTTCGTACCTCTTCCGTCATGAACGACCAATTATAATTGCCCCCGAAGGTGACATGATGGCTGTATACAGTTATTATGAATAACTTAATATGCGCAATTATTTCGATGTAATACGGCATTTAATAAAAAAACCTATACGACATTTAGTATAGATTCGTTCAATTGAAAATACTTTTCGCCACGATATTTTGTACTTTAGAATTGCGATCGCTTGTAAAAATTCTAATGGAGGACGCAGTACGCACTCGACTCATCGCCACGTATAGCTGGCCGTGACTGAATAGCGGAGAAGTTAGTAGCAACGCAACTTTATTAACGGTCTGACCTTGCGATTTGTTAATCGTCAATGCGTAGGCGAGATCGACGGGAAATTGGGTTCTTTTAAAGTGAAGACCGTTACCGTCGGGTCGTTTGTCCTCGTAAACGAAAGGTAACATCGCCAGGGCGCACGTTCTTCCCTCGTAAGGGCCTACCGCGATTTTACAGTATATTATGTTATCGCCTAAATCGGTAATGAACAGGCGCGCACCGTTCGCCAGGCCCTGTCTGACGTCTACATTTTTTATTAGAACGACGATAGAGTGCTTTTTGAGCTTTAACCTGTGAGGAGGAAATCCCGAAGGATTTTCGTCGTTTAGGAATGCGACGTCGTGTATCGCCGCGTGTACGTCTAATACGGGATTATCGACTAACGACTGGTCGGCGGACAAATACTCGCGTTCTTCGCCCGGAAGCATGTTTAAAATTTTGTCGTTTAATCGCCTGACGTCGGCGCGTCTCGCGCTCATTATTAGTTTGTTCGCGACTTCCTTTTCGACTTGAAGCGATTCGACGTTCGGATAAATGAATCGGATAAGTTCGTCCTCGCTGTTAACCAACATTTCCTGCGGTATTTGAAACTTGCCGGAGTTGTCGCTATCCTTACCGATGCGCTCGAGCATATCGACGAACTCTACTTCGTTGGCATTGACGCGTAAGTTTCTCGTAAGAATCACCTGATGGAATAGGCTAAATATTTCGGAGTTTTTCACGGAGGCCGCGACCTGTTCCGATAGACTGGAATTTTGGATTACAGGTAATAGTTAACGAAAATCACCGCCTAATAGGATAACTTTACCGGCGAACGGTAGCTTTCTCGTCTCGTTATTCGCTTCGACGTTTTTGCAAGCTTCGTTGACCATTCTAAGAACGTTTTTGTGCAGCATGCTTATCTCGTCGATAATTATCGCTTCCGATTTCCGAATTCTTTGCGCCATCACGCTGCCACCGGATATCGACGGAATCTTGTTGACGTCGAGGACATCTAGTGGTATGCTAAAGGCCTTGTGCACCGTCATCCCTCTGGGCAGGAGTTGGGCGGCTACTCCGGTGCTCGCCGTCATGATGACGTACCTTCTGTATTTGATGAACATGTCGATGATCGTTTTGTAAACGAACGTCTTGCCCGTGCCTCCGGCACCGTTCATGAAGACGAGTCTCGGCGTCGTGGCGTCCGACGGCGAACTTTGCATCGCTCGAACGACGATGTCTACGACGATCTTTTGCTCCTCGTTTAGGCGTAGGTAACTCGCCAAAGTGGCGTAATTGCCTATGTCTTCGGTCTCTATGGCGTCGTCGTTTCTGCGTTGTAACGGAAACTCCGCCAGTGTAGGATCAGACTCGTTTTCGCCGTCCAGTGCGCGATTTTGGCCGAAGAAAAACTCGTTTTCGTCGTCGCAAACGGCGTTGTAATTTTCCGGCATCGGAATGTGAAAGAACGCGTTGTTCGTGAAGTGATGCCCGAGCAGTCGATTGAGTAGACAAAGAGCTATGTTAATTCTTCGCGACCTTTCTACCTCGTCGTTCTGTCGCAAGTTTCTCGTGTCGTACATGTGCGGCAAAAACTCGTTCCACAAAGCGAGCGGATCGGCGACGTAACCGAGCAGTAAGATTTGGGCGAACAAATTTCTCATCGTTCTCGGATTTCCTACGTTGCTAGCTTCGAACAGGGTTCTGCGCCAGATTTCGATGTCGTCCAGAAGACCCATCAATTTTGCACATTCGACGAACGTTTTACAGGGCGTCGTGCTATTGGGAGGAGTTTTCAAATCGTCCCAGCCCAGCGGGCCCTTCTTGTAAAGCAGCAGTTGATATAAGGCGAACTTTTCTGTATGATTGGGCAAAACGGGATACAAACGACCTACAATTTTTCTTTGTCGTTTTCTCTTTTGCCATCGGTTGGTCTTTTGGTTAAACCAATGCGTTTCCGGTAGTTGGGCGAAGGTGACGTTTCGAATTTCGCTTATTTGCTGTCGCGACTCTTCCAAACACTGTTTCATGAACATCTCGAGTTGCGAAAGTTTCGCGTTGCCTTCGAATATTTTCGCTTTGACTTTGTCTTCCGCGCCGCGTCTAAAATACTGCGGTCCTTCGCCTTCAAGGTGTACGTTCAGACGATAAACGGTGTGGGACATTCGAATGATGCGCCAACTGTACAGTCTCGCGTAGGCTTCCATCGCCGAACGATAATGTCCCTTCATGATGCCTTGCGTCTCGTCGTAATCCACGACGTCGGTATTGCCCTCGGCGATCTGGACGTATGCAAAGTTTCCCATCTTGAAATGATATTTCACCAGATATTTGCAGGCAGCGTCTCCGTATGCGAATTCTACGTTCGAATGAGCACCTAACGCCAAAAGGTAAGCTGGATTGTACGGAACTACCCACGAATTCGTTATTACTCGACCGTTTGTCGTGCGATGAAAGGTGCCGCCATCGTCGGGTGATCTGCGTTTATATACGGCCGGTTTATCTTCGTAAATTATCGTCACGTTCGAGTATCTCTTTGGAAAACCTCTCGAACACTTTTTCTTCTCGTTTAGGCAATGAAAATTGCAGGTGTGAATTTGCAATTTTATCACCAAATCGTGTAACCTTCTTTGCATTTCGGCTTTTTCGCTCTTGTCACTCGCCGGAGGTAGTACCGGTATTTCCGCCGAAATGTATTCGTCGACGAATTCGGGCGTATGAGGACAATCGACCGAAATCAAGCGATGAGTGTGAGGACCGCCTCTTTTTTGGAATTCCAATGCTTCTAGAAAAGCCTTCGGTTTACCGAAAATGTGTTTCTTTTCTATAAGGTCTCGCATCATGTTAATCTTGATCGCGAATACTCTACATAATACGTCGGGACGATCGACGACGTTTTGATTTTTCATCATGCTGTTTTTGACCTCTTTCCAGGTCGGGTTGCTCGTCGTCGTAATCATAAAAGTCGGTCTACCTATGCGTTGAAACATCGCCATCGAGTCGTGGAAGTATTGCTGATACCACGCGGGAGAACCGACGACACTGGTCGTAAGACGCAACACTTTCCCTAACGTTTTATTCGGATCGGTTTTTCTGAGTTCTCTTTGTAAATAATCACGCACTTCCGTCGCCGTGGTGCACAAAGTGTCATAATTTTTCTTAATAAATTCGTACAGTTGTTGATCCACCTTGACGCTTTGATCCAACATGTACTCCTGAGTTATGTTACCGTACGGAAATAAAAAGTGCGTCTCTCCCGTCGGTTCGTCGCGAATCGCACAATAGTACCTGTAGAATTCTCTCATCGAAACGTTGTCGTTCTGAACGGCTTCGTCATCGTAAAAAGCGTCCGGTTGATTTGCATTTTCTGCGTTTTCGTCAACTTCAGTTGCGGTACGTCGTCTTTTCTTTTGTACGACCTTTTTTATATCGGGATGATATCCGAAATCTCCGTTTGCCAAATTTAAGACATAATGACTACAATCGTTTAGTCGATCGTATATCGGAAGCATATGCGTCCGTCCGTCCTTTTTTTTCAAATAAGTTCCGCACCGGTAGATGGGCTCCTCGCGTTCGTTGGAAACGTAAAACGCGCATATCTCGTTAACTTGCGGTAAGTTGACCGCACGAGGATGGAGATTTGCATCGACCGCCTCGCGTGGAACTCTTTTGGGATCGACCAATACCAATGTGACGTGCTGAACGTCTTCCAGACCTTGTTGTCGAGCCTCGATAAGTTTTTCCATGTACATTGTGTGCATGATTTGAAACGATTCGCAAAGCGGATGATGTCGTCGAAGTACGTCGAAGAGAGTATTCAGTATCTCGCGTTTGATGCCGAATTTTTGGAACAGCGAGTTCTTCGAAACCGATTCTGCCATCATCATCGGATCTAACATGTACAACTGACCGTGTACCGGTGTCTTTCCGTCTGCTGTGAATAACGGGCTAATTTGTCGTTTTATTTCGCCATTAATTAAGATGACCGGAGCACCTTGTCCTGGAGAAGGCTTTCGACCGGCCTCTACGCTGCCAAACTGTAGTAGTTGGTTGTAGATTCGAAAGTACTGTAGAAAGTGTTTTCCGTGTTTGGGATCTTTGGTCAAATTTCGAATCTCCTCCGGAACGGGTTTAATCGGTGGCAATTTGACTTCACCATTCTTGCAACACATCATGGTAGTTTCATTTTTAAACAGGAGCGCTTTACAATGAGGACACACCTTGTCGCCGATTTTTCCGCAATCTAAATATTGGATGTCGTGGCCGGCGCATGTTGCAAAGCATCCGTAAACGCCGTGTTTCTTGTTGCAGTATCTTAAACTTTTTAATTTACTTTTCTTAACATTGCTCGGCGTTTCCGGTCGACTGCTTGTAGATGATCTAGATCTGATTGATCTTCTACTACTTGTCGAAGATGTGGATCGCATGCTGACGTCAGAGTCGTAACTATCGTTTGCGCTTGAACGTGCTGCTTCCTCGACAACTTCCATGACCTCGTCGTCAACGGTTTCTGAATAATCGAATGGATTATCCGGTCTCGGTTCGTATATCGGAACGACGTTGTTGCATAATTCTCTTAGTAATTCCGATATTCTACGGCGTTCCGTCGCTATGTTAAAATCTGCCAACAGCATTCTCTTGTCGTTCATTAAGTATGTTTCGACGTAAAGGGAGACGTAATACCCGCAATTGTAATCGTCACCGGTCTGTTGTAGATTGTAAGCGGTCGCACTTGCGATTTCTACGTTGATCTCTTCGTCATTACGGAACGACGCGTCGTAATAGCGAATTGCAGCTTTTATAGCGGGCAGGTACGTTGCACCTCGATGTCCTTCTAAATTTTTCATCGCAGGTATGGGGTCGTAAAATATTGTTCTTCCGTTTCTTTCGTGAATTACCAAAGCAAAATGGCCCGGGAAGAAGATCGGAATAAACATAACTTCGAAATTTTCAGGATTACCCCAAGTTCCTTCGTTCGGAAACGATTGTCTTCCTTCACAAACGGCTATCGTGTAGTGGACGTTTAGGACGATGGACTTGCATTTATCGTACGCCATATACGCCAGGTAAATTATAATGCCGAATATGCATTCCACGTCCAATTTTGATCTCGCATTGTAGTATCCCTCCAAAAAATTTTCGTTGCAGAATACGTAATAATCGTCCATAATGTAGGGCCTGGTAATGTCGTTAATCGTTGGCGGTATACGAAGTTGAACTTCTGCATTTTCTGTCGGCGTTAGTTGGAGGGCTTCTAGTAACGCGTCGCCAAATCTGTCAAATTTACAATCGTCATCGGTTGATTTTCGGGTGGTATCTTGAAGGGGCGGCGGAGGCATCAAAATTTGCGACAGACGTACGGTGTTCTCCGGTAGCAATATATTTTGGAGTATGTTTATTTGCTTCTTGCTAGGAGGAGGCGGCGGACTATCTGACGACAAACGGGACTCTTCTCTCTCTTCTTCTACAATCGACGCATTCTTTTCTTCTTCCCTTTTACGTTTTGCCGTCAATAATTTTAAAGCGTTACCTTTTAAACATTTTTTTTTAGATGAAACACAATTTTTATTTGAATTAGAAGAATTTGCCTGAAAATAAATAAGCATCTGTAATAAAAATTAAAATGCGCGGATGATACATTTTTTTATATTAGTTATTTTAAAAGTTATTTTTATGATCTTCTGAGAAACCTTGATAAATGATATTTCCTTTTCTTTTTTCCTTTAAACTAAACCGTCGATAGAAGAAAAAAGTAGTTTCGTTGGTTTTGACGTAATGGTTTTTAATTTTGATGAGAATCTTGATATGTTGTAAATTTTTTGTGATTTTTGAATGAAGAAATTTTTCTTGTTTCTTGAAAAAATTTTGTAGATGTTTTCTTGAAAAATGTAGAATTTTGATTTTATTCACTCTTGATTGTCAACAGATGGTATAACATAATTTCGTTGATTTACGTCTTGATGATGCAATGGTTTTTGATTTTGATGAGAATCTTGAAAGGTTGTAAATTGTTTGTGATTTTTGGATGAAGAAATTGATGTTTTTTCTTATTTCTTGAGAAAGTTTCAATGGTTACGTATTGATTTTGATAAGAATCTTGATAGGTTGTAAATTGTTTGTGATTTTTGGATCAAGAAATTGATGTTTTTTCTTGTTTCTTGAAAAAGTTTCCATGGTTTACGTCTTGATTTTGATGAGAATCTTGAGAGGTTGTAAATTGTTTGTGATTTTTGGATGAAGAAATTGATGTTTTTTCTTGTTTCTTGAAAAAGTTTCGTTGGTTTACGTTTTGATGGTGCAATGGTTTTTGATTTTGATAAGAATCTTGATAGGTTGAGGCTGTTTAAGTTATCTTGATGGTTTTCTTGAACGTAATTAGATATTTTCCAAACGTGCGGCAGAAACAATCATTTAAAAATTATAAATTCCTAATTCAATAGTTAATAATTACATGATTAACAAAATGATATGTTTCATTTTATATTATGAATAAGATAAGTAATAAAGTTCAAACTTACGTCGTCCACCCTTTGATCAAGACTTACACCATTAAAGATGTTGAGAGGTTCTAAAATAAAGTACAAAATTAAAACATTGCCACAGTAAATCTATTAATATAGTTACATTGTACATGTTCTATATTGCAAAAAAATTTATTTGTTAAAAAATTATAGAATTTGATATAAATTCAAGTGGTGGCATCATTTGTAGTATGTAATGACTAATGAGTTAAATATCTTTGACTCAAATTCCAACAGAGAATACTCTTCCTTGATTTCTTCAATTTTACTATAGAAATGGTAACATAAAATTTAGTTTCGTTTATAATTTCCACTTATTGTAAGTTTTATTTGAACTGTTGTTTTGTGTTAAAGAAGGATTATAAATAATTGTTCCTCTTTCATAAAGATTCAAAGTTCAACATTTTTTTTTTAATATTCCATTTATGTATGTGCTTAATATTTTAATATGAACCTGGAAAATAATCTGTCATGAATAAAAAAAATTAACAGATTCGAGGTGGTCTGAAACCCTTTGATTTTATATTTGTTTACATAATCGATTGTAAATATACAGACTGGTGTTTAAATAGAGCATTATTATAACATAAGAAAAGTATACCGACTGATTTTTTTTCTAAGTATCTGTTGATGCATATTGATACATTGTTAATTAGAAATTGTCATGTCTATAATTAAGATTTCATGGCTTAAGGCTGAGAGAAGCAAGAATTATTTTTGCATGTAGGTACTAACTGATGTAGCATACAAAATCCTACAAAAATGTACCATATTTATTTTTTAATAATAATTTAATTTCAGTTTTATTAAAACTACTTGCCATACAGAAAAATGATAGATACAAAAAAAGATGTGTTTTGATGAGATGTACAAAAAAGTATCATACAATTTTTCCGTTGGGATCAAAATAATGGCCTAAGAGGTAAATATAGTCAGAAAGTTAAGAATATTATTAAAATTTGAACGGTTCCCCTAACCTTAAGCCACGGACTCTCGTTGGGCAAATATGACAATTTTTACTTAATTATGTGTCGGAAACATGTACAAAAGAAATCAGGAACCGTAATGGTAACTAATATTTTTTTGTAGTCAACTCTTTGTTTATAAAGCAAAGCACACATTGTGACACACAGCACACAGCAAACGTAAGTCAAGACAGCACATGTTAATAAATGAAATTTTTTATGAAATGCACATTATCAAAATGTAGAGCCATCAATTCAGATGACAAATGAAACTTACCATGAATTATTTTCTTTTAGATATACTTTAAAAATACAACATTTAGCAATTTAAAATAACCACAGAATTGTAGTTACATCGATTGCACTTTGTAGTGGTTGATTAAAAATATTTATAGCTACGTTGCAGTCATGAATGATAATTAAGGTGGTTACCCGCACCTTTATCACATCAAACAAAATAGAAACTTTGACTTATTCTATATTCCATAGTATTAGGTTGTAAATGTCAGCTTCAATATTATCGATTCTTAGATCATTTATTACATTCTTTCAGGGCGATTGTAAAAGTATAAATGAATTTTGCCTTATCTCGAGCCAGTTCAGTGCAATCGTAATCTGTGTTTTAACCGGCAATACTTAAGCAGTCATAAATTGTGCCGTACACAAATATGACACGTACTGTGACTTAAGTAAACCATGTCCCATGTGTTTTAATGCATTGCTCTATATGAGAATTAATAATAATTAAGACTAAAGGTCGGTTTCACGTACAGTTTGTTATCAGTCCATGGACTTTTCGTCCTACCTGGATACCGATTTTATTAACGGCCCCATATACAGAACGATTCGTTGTTACGATTGATCTGAAGGGATATCGTAACAATAGATCGTCCAAAGCTAACCACTCACATACGAAACGATTGGTCGTTTACAATCGATTGCTTATTACTTATACTGAATCTAGAAAAGTGTGAGAAGCCTTTGTCACATTCGATATTAGCAGACCATTTTCATTCATTTCAATAAAACACATACAATTCACGAGCTTAAAAGTTAAGTTTGTTGAACGTAGGCAGCGTTCCAAGAACTTGCACTGATAATTTTTATCGATATGAGAAATTAGCCAGCGGACTGCCTGTACGTGCACAATGAAAAGTCGGCCAAAATTGTTTGGCGATACATTACGATTCGAGCTTAGCGAGATAAGTGTTCCATAGAAGTAAACGTATACAAACTGAACATACCTGTGGAGCTATCAACCGTAACCGAAGAGTCCTGGACTGCCTCTGAAAGTAGTAAAACTCTATAAGTGTATCACTACTAACAGTAAAGGCACTCACCCTTGTTCTTTCGCCCCAGCATTGACGTCAATGCAGCTCCACTAACCTTTCTACTCTTTTTTCTAGCCATATCTAGAAGGTAATCTCTTAATTAATCACAATAAACGCTATTAATTATTAAAAAATTTACCTCTAAAAGAAAGTACGTAATGCAGCTTCTGGAAGGAAACAGGAAATGTAAACGATACGCAGAGGTGTCGAGGCTATATCCTAAACCGGAAATGTAAACAAAGTAAAGGGTTCGAGATTAAAATATACGTACTTAATTATTTGTCATTTGTTTATATTGCGATTAAACACCTTATAGGTTATGTTTATTGTTTTGGATGTGGCTATAGTACCTATGATTTATGGAAATCACATCGATAATATACAGTGTATTTTAAAGAAATCACATGTACGCCCTTCATTACTTACCTTTTATGGCTGTATATATCGAAAAAGTTTATCCGGGGTTAGTTTAAGTGTAACTTAATATCTACGGTAACGTATATTGGGGCAATGGTTGTCAATAATTTGCATTTAGATTTAAGCGCTTAAATTTTTACGGTGCGTACGGTCATAAGACAGTTTATTTTTGCGAATGCACAATTTGCTCAATATATAGGAAAATTGCATTTTGCAGTAAATTGCATTTTGCAGTAAGAGTTACATTGCGTTTAAATTAACGCGAGACGGCGGAGATTAGGTTAGGTCAAAATGTGCAGTTAGATTAGATTGCGGTTAGGCTAGAGTGAGACGACGGTGGTTATAGATTTGGTCGAATTGGGCAGTTAGGTTAAATTACTGGTAAATTAGATCGAAATGCGTAATTACATTAGATATCGCTTAGATTAGATTTAGTCTAAATGCGTTATTGGGTTAGATCGAGAGTTAGATCCGATCTTAATCATAACCTCAAATTTGATTGTGAACTTAACTTAAACCTAACCTACTCTACTCGTTCATTCACACGGATGCCTTTTAAAGAGTTTCTTTCTACATTCCGAAATTTTCATCCTCCTATCGGTTAGGTAGATATTTCCAAATACACCAATAAACCTCCATTTAGGATGAATCGTTACTGAGATATCGCGTTTTAATTGTTTTCGGTGGCGTCAAATTACAAATCACTATTTCTTCGTTGTTTACCGTCCGATCTCAATGAAATTTGATATTTGAAAGTTTGTAAGTACACTCATGACATCCGTTCCCACCTTTTAGGAAATTCCCATCGGTTAGATTACATCGAGACCTTTCCAAAGATACCCATAAAGCCCCATCTACGACGTACCGTTTTCAAGATATCGCGTTTTAAGTGTTTTCGGTGGTGTCAAATTACAAATCGCTATATCTCCGTTGTTTACCGTCCGATTTTGTTCAAATTCGGTATTAAGAGGTTGGAGAAATGAAGGCATCCTTTCGGTACTTCTATCTCCATTCCGAAATTTTTATCGTCCCGTCGGTTAGATTACATCGAGAGCTTTCCAAAGATACCTATAAAGCCCCATCTACGACGTACCGTTCTCGAGATATCACGATTTAAGTGTTTTCGGTGGTGTCAAATTACAAACGGCTATATCTCCGTTATTTACCGTCCGATCTCGATGAAATTTGGTATCGAGAGGTTTGGGGACTCGGACAATTCGATTCCGTCATTTCCGAGCTCGTATCTCGGTTCCGAAATTTCGACACTTCCATCGGTTAGATTAGGTCGAGAACGTTCTAAAGACACCCATGAATCCCTATCTACGACGTTCCGTTTTCGAGATATCGCGATTTAAGTTTTTGATAAAAAATCCAAAAAAACGGTTTTTGCGTAGATCGTCTAGAAATGTCGCGAAACGCGTGATTCCGAAGTATCGAGGTCGCAGGTCGAAAGACGACAGAGAGGCGTCGATATCTCGAAAAGGGGAGGGGATAGGAAAAAATTGAAAATCCCATTTCGAGCCCCCGGCGGGGCGCAGCTACGGTTTAAATTTGGTCCAGATCGGCCGGTAAATAAGGGAGATATTAAGAGATGCGCGGCCCTTTAAAACGCATCCATGCGCGTGGACTTAGAAAAAAAAGGCACACCCCCGTCCCCCGAGCGACACGGGCCCCCCCCTTCGGCCACAGGCTGACGCCCGGCGCCTACTGAAGACGCGGTCTAAATTTTTCCCGTGTTATACGTATAAGTTCGGAGATCGATCGCGTACGAGTAGATACGGAAGTGTATATATATAAATGAGTATATATATATATATATACCCGTTTGTGAAAAAAATTTTTTTTATCGACGTTTCGCGACCCGTTTGTTGTCGATGAGGGAAGGACACATTTGGGACGGTTCGCGCCGGCGGCGTCGGGTGACGTCGACAGGTGTCGCCAAAATGCGAATCTCGGTAATGGAAAGTCGCAGGAGAATATGATAGGTATTGTCGGAAAGCTCTCAACGCCGAGGTTACGATAGTTTAGGTTTAGTGTGGATCGTACTCCCAATTCCCTCGGTGGTCGAGGCGGATCGAAAAAAATTGTAAAAGTGACGTAACGTAACGGCTACGGATTCCGAAAGTACCGAGTCCGTAGGTAGTATAACTTCTCCTCCAGGTCCGAAAAGGTGTTTTTTCGCGTTTTTTTCACGTCTTACGGCAGCCCCCCCGCCGGTGGGCGATAAAAAATTCCAATGTACGCGGTTCGGCGCGGTCGTCCTCGGTACCCCCCCGGGCCGCGGCGACGTCCGCGTGACACTTACCTTCGGTCCTCCGGAGGGCGTTTTATGGGGAAAAACACGAAAAGGGGGGTGGCGCGGGGGGAAAACTGGTCGAGCGATTTGCCCGGTTTTTATATATTTTCATGTCCTCGACGTACTCGACGATTCTAGGAGTTTTCGTGAAAATCCTGCTTCGGGTAAAAAGTCGGCTTATTTGCTTATTGTAGTGTGTTCAATGTGCATCCGAAGGTACCCACTTGGATCTATAAAAAGTGGTTTTTTAATTTTTAAATTTGAACGACGGATTAATCTTCGAATCGCCATATCTTCGTCGTTTAAATTCCGATCTCGTTCAAATTTGGTATACGTACGAACGGATACTTGCGATGTCCGTCGACCCCCCCCCCCCCCCCCCCCCCAAATACGTGTATAAATACCAGCCCGTGTAAGACAAACTTTTTTTAATCGTCGCGATCCGTTTATCGTCCGGAAATGTAAACAAAGGGCGGTACTCGAACGGGCCGCGGCGGCGCCTACGGCGCGCGTCGCGACGCGCGTCGCCCGGCGTCGCCAAAATGCGAATCTCGGTAACGGAAGGTCGTAGGAAGGCGCGAGAGGTATCGTAGGAAAGGTCTCGGCGACGCGGGTCGAATGGGTTAGGTTACGTTTAGGATAGGTTAGATTCCGGATATGATGTATGTCTATCAAACCTAAGGGCACATCTTGAACTAATCCAAACGCGGTTTTGATCTAACCTATTCTAACCGAAATCTCCCCTAAGCGCGATCTAACCTAATCGCGCATGTCGCCCTAACCTAACCGCGATCTCGCCCTAACCTAACCGCGATCTCGACCTAACCTAACTGCGATCTAACCTAACTGCGATCTAACCTAACTTCGATCTAACCTAACCGCGATCTAACCTAACTCCGAAAGTCGATCTAACCTAACCGCGCACGTCGACCTAACCTATCTTCGATTGCCCGTAATTTAAACATTTATGCGATTTTTAACGAATTTCGACGTCGGAGTGCTCAAAAAAGTCACTTGGGGGCACCAAAACTTCGCCAAATTTGTACCCTCACTTCGTCTCGCTGTCTGGAGTCGATTTCGGCAAAAAACGGAAATTATTAATTTTTCGTCAAAATTTTCGCGAAAAATGCCGTTTTCGTATCGATCTCGATTTAACGCGCTCGCGATCGTACCGCGGGGACCGCGGGGCAAATTTATAAAAGGTCCACTCTAAAGTGATCGTTTAGAAGCGAAAAGTCCCCGGAATTCCACCGGCGAGTGCCCGTTTTGCGCCCATTTTCGGGAGCATTTTCATTTTTTCTTCGACGTCCTCTCCCGGAGACGCCGTCGATTTTTCGGGGGAAGTGAAGTTGTCGTAGAATAGCCTCGTCCTTCCTCTTTCGATCGCCGCCTCGACCTCCCGAATATCTCGAATATTGGCGAAATTACGAATTTTTTTGTAAAGGTGTGCAAAATTCGAAAAACAAAAAGCGCCCTCTACCGTCGAAACCGTAAATCTTTTATGAGAATTTTTTTTCGTTTTTGCAATCTCCGCGCCAAAACGCATAAGATGACGTCGAAAGAGCGACGATTTTTGACAATTTTTTTTTTCGATTTTTTCGAAGGAAGGGGATAGTATGGAAAAATTTTCGTTTTTAATTTTTTCGAATAACTTTCGAAGAGGGCGTCGTATTTCGACGAAACCTTTCGTAACGTGTCCTTTGAGGTAAAATGCGACGTCCGACGCGTCGATCGATCGAATCGGCGACGTTTTTGAATTTTCGAGATTCGTACCTACAAGGACACGTCGCTCGGCTTCGGCGGCTGCGCCGCCTCGCCTCGCTCATTTTTTTCGATTCCAGAACGCGACCGATCGACGCGGGAACCCCACCGCGATCGACGGCATCGTCGTAGCGCTCGTCGTTTGCGAGAAAGCGTCAAAATAAGAGGAAAATGCGCCTTAAGAGCCATTCGGAGGGGGGGGAGGGTGGTGCGACCCGAGAGATTTCCGAAGCGCCGTTCGATTGCGAAGTCGACACTCAAAACCGCAACTCGATACGACCTCTCGTTCGCACGCCACCGCGTCTAGACTTTACCTCTACGCGGCGGGGGGGCGCGGGGGGGTACGAGGTCGACGAACGGCGCGTCGAAAAAGGGGCGACGTCCCGCGTCCAGTTCGCCGTATTAAATTTCGCGAAACGCATTTTTTCGTTACTCGACCCCCCCGCCGCCCCCCTCCCGAAAAATAGGACTTCACGAAAATACTACGAGGGGGCGTGTCGTCGGACGCTCTCGAGTTTTAAGAATTTTAAAAAAATTCTATCTTCACGTTTGCGAACGATTGGCGAAAAGGTGCCCGAAAAAGGTAACTCGCTCCTCCTCGTCACCTCCACGTGCCTCGACGGCCCGCGATCGAACCACGAACCGGTACCCCGGAAGCGCACTCGAACCGCGAGTCCGAGACGGAAAACCGCAACTCGATCCGTCCCCCCGTTCCCCCGCCGCGACCCGCGGACTTTACCTCCACGTAGCGGGGGAGGGCGGGGGGGTGAGAGGTCGCGCGACGGCGCGTCGGAAGCGTCTCGACGTCCCGCGTCCGTTTCGACAGCTCCGCCTTCGCTCAAGTCGATTTTCTA